TGAATTTCTAGCCATCAGAAAGAAACCTTGAGAAATAGTGATTCTGACTGTACCCAGCCATTGGGTCCTGGGGTAATCTGTTATGCAGCAACAGCTAACTCAGTAACTTTCCTTTTAGAATTTGCCTTTAATAACTAGGGAAAGCGGCTATTTTTTGACATACCCACTCACTCATTCACCCAGGCCCCAGGGCTGAGCAGAACTCTTCGGGCATGCAAAACATCAGTCCTTACAGGAGTTACAGGGTGATCTGCTGCATGGATGAACTCCCAATTCCATGTCAACAGGATGGAAGGGCAGTGTGGGTTACAGGTACGACTTGGTTGGGTGGGGAGCACTGGAGACAGGAAGGGAAGGTTAGAGGGCACCCAGCAATATCAGGGTGTGTGTTGAGAGGAGGGGAAAAGGAAACAAGGGCTGTTGGGGGTCTGGCCATAGATGCCACAGTGTGCTACTATTTAACACAGCAGCCACATGAGGTCAGTGTTACTACTTACTTTCTATTCAATTCTCCTATTCCAGATAAGAAATCAGACCTGGAAAAGGTGAGTCATTTTCCCAAGCTACTTAAATTTCAGAGCTTGGCCAGCCCTCAGTGTGACCCCAGGAGTGTCTGCTCAGTGTCCAGGCTGTCTGACTGCAGGCCCTAAGACTACACAGAGGCGCTGTTCCCTCCCAGCACATGGGACCTCACCAGGAGCAGGCCCAGTGAAAGTCACCTGCCATCCTTCCCCTGCTGGTGCAAACCCAGCAGAGCAGGCTGGGTCGCATGTTTGGAAGCAGGGCCTTCACTGTGACACATGGGTGATTCTCATGCTGAGACACATCTGATTGAATTTGAAAGCAAGTAAACCAAGATGACAGCAACATTAGGCTGAAGGACAAGTTCCTCAGTGGATCCAAGTGTGGAGGGCTCTGCTCCACCATCCAGGCCTCCTAGGGAGCATCCCCACAAATGAAGGCCTGTCAGGCCTATATGGAGCTGTGGCCAGGCCCACAGCAAATCATTGCCTGATGGAGGCTCTGCCCTGGGGGCATCCGGTCGGGGTGGCTTTAACCTCTGGCTGCTGGAAGAGATGCCAGCTGATTAAGAGCCATCTCCATCCTCCTGAGAGCCAACAACAGACAGAATGGCCCAGGCTCTGACATTATGCTCTCCAAATCATCATATTCCCCCAACTACATGATGGCACAGCTCACAGTTGTGTCTTGAGAGGGCTCCTGTGAAACTGTTGAAGCTGGATACAAACCAAAGTGTCATATGCACAGCAGCACAAGCCAGACACCAAGATGAACACGGCCAAGCCTTCCCTTCCAATGAGATCTCCAGTGAACAAGTCACTGGAACTCTTCCGACCATGCTGGCTCCACTGTGCTTCCACATAAGCACCCCAACAAATCCTGTCTGGGTTAAAGCCTCGCTTCTTTCCCATTTCTATTTCAGGCAGGTCAGAGAACCTTGGATTAGGGAATGCTGGGAAAAGGTCTCACACACAATTCAAGGGGGCCAAGACTGCGATTCCTTTGGCAACTGCTTTAACACTGCTGAGTAAGAGCTTGAACCAACTTTCCTGAGTTTCCTGGCAATGTCTAGCTAAAGTTACATTTAAAGCTTGTTTTCTCTCTCAATCTTTCCAGACTAACTGGGGGTCTATGGGCAGCATGGAATCTCCAACTTACCTCCAAAGCCTTACAAACAAAAGCAACCCATTCCCACTTTGTACCACTCTTGTCAGTTCAAGTTATGGGGTGATTTCTCTTGGTAGGCTGCTAATGACTTGTTGAATCCTTCAAGTGTAACTGAAACTGACCTGCTAGTCACCCCTGGGTAGGCTAACAGAGGTAGGAGGTAACAGAGGTAGGAGGTAACAGGTACTTTGATTTGCTATTTGAACTATACAGTTCCTCATCACTGGTGCATTGATTACCTCAAGTAGACAGGTTTGATCATACTAGACAGGAACAGGGACACAGAAACCTCACAAAATCCAGTGTAGGATTCAGTGCCCCCACATATTGTTTTTGCCTACCATCCTCCCTCAAAACAGGAATCCTTAGAAAACTTTCTCACTGGGCTTCCTAGAGTCTATCTGAGAGTGCTTAGACTCAAACTGATAAAGAGCTGGGAAGGTATCAGAGGGCACTGGGGGTGGGGAGGGATCTCCCTGTCAGGGCTGCCTACTGGGTAGCAGCATTGACTGGGTCCCCTTTTGCGACCTCAGCATCCCCCTGGTGGTTGGTGTGCTCTGTAGTGCACAACAGCCTGAGAATTCCACACCTGTGTAACCTCTTTGGGAGTGCTACTGAACCTTGATCCTTTCCAGATGGCCCTTCCTGTGAGCACAGAACACTGGCAAGGCATGTCTGGATTCAGCAGAGATGCCTAAAGTCTCACCCATCCCCAGCCCCAGTGCCCTCTCAGGGCTCTAGTTCTGCCTATTCTACAAGGTGTTCCTCCTCAAGGAGAGTCAAGAATCCTAACTGCCCACCTCCCCCCGCCCAACAGCCCTTTGTCATATTTAGTTCTATCTGGTCCTGACTTAAATGCATAGGATTGCCTAGCTTAGCTGCAGGTACCTTCCCCAGAGTGGGCTGGAGCAATCAGGAACATGAGAGAGAGAGTAAGGCAGGGTGCTAGAACCCACCCACAGGCCATGGGCTTCAGGAACCTCCTTGCATCTCCCCGCCATGACACTGCTCCTCAGAGAGAGCCTTTATCAGTAATGGAGGGTATATGGATCTCTTATCCTTGTCCGGCAAGAACTCAACTTTCTTCCCTTGTAACTTAGGGGTAACCCCAGTCTGATTGGGGAAGATATGGAGTTCACAATGAGGAGCTAATTATAGAGCCTGACCCTGCCAATCTTCCTCCACCAAGAACTGAGATTTGTGCTGAGCCCACCCTCCTTCAAACACTCTCACCCTGCTCCTGCAGCAGCCTCAATGGCTAGACCTTAACCGAGCTGGTGCCATACTGGGGCTGCAGTGACTCACCCGTGCCAGCTTCCCCTGGCCTCCTGGGTTGGGTGGCCCAGACTGGAGATGGGGCCAATGCAGCCAGCTGTCTTCATACTTTTCAGTGCTCTTCCTGAAGGGAGCCTTGACCAATCAAGATGGAGTACTTTCGGCCCCAAAAACCAGTGTCTGCTGTCTTCTCTGGAAGTTCAGGGCAGCCGAAGACACAAAGCAGGTGTTTAGAACTACCTGATTGCCAGAATGTATCTTCAGAGACATCACGCTGCTGGTGTGCCTCCTTCCATTTGCGCCCCCTCATTAGCACCACCATAACAAGGGTGATCTTTAGGACGTGACTACCTACCTGCCCAGGTGGGCTTTAAATGGAAACATACTTCCAGGAATCCCTCAGGGTTGGTGCCACTTACACAACTCAGAAGTGGTCAGGCCTCTGATGGAGGAGGGGAGGAGTTGGTGACCACATACCCCCCACGCTGGCTGGCACTGGGTGTGGTCTCAGAGGAGCGGATGTGGCACTGACCAAGCTGCTTCCTGTGTAGATGGCAGGTTAGCCATCCAGTTGGGGGATGGGAGGGATTGGTTGGGAGTATCATCAGCTGGGAAGTCAGCACCCAGTAGCTGCCACAGGTATCCTGCTCTATTTCCCCCTGTTTGTACAGCCTGAAGAGAGCCTCTCCTCTGGGGCAAGTGGCTTCCCTCCCACCTGGCTCGAGCAGGGGAAGCACTGGCTTGAGCAGCGCCCACCTCCAACCCCCAGGAGTTCTTGGTGGCAGTCATTGTCTTTTTCCAACAGCTCTTCTCCCCCACCTAGTCTTCCTATTAAGGACCCCCTGCCCGTGGCGAAAGCCAGGCCTAAAGGTTTTTTGCTCTGCACTTTGTGAACTCTGAAGTCTGATCTCTCATGTTCCACAGCAGCATCCTGGGCCACCTGTCTATCTCCAGTCCTGGTCCTCTCCTGAGAGCCACTAGGCTCATGCTTCTGGTAACTGCTACGTGGCTCAAGAGAGCAGTAATGCCAGAGGGCTCACTCCTTGGCTCCAGGAAGTGCTGGGCCAAACGGGCACTGGGGGCTGTCACATGTCTTAGAGCTCTGAGTCAGCAATCCAGGACCACCAGGCACCAAGGGAAACGTTTCAGGCCAGCAGGACAGGACAACTATGCCCTGGAGACAGGGAGATATATGTATGTGATATATATACACACACACTGTATTTCCATTTCTGTTAAACAACAGTGTTGTGGTCTCACAGGAAAACAATTTATAATGTGTCAGCTCTTAGCAAGTGTGGGCAATGGGCTAAATCAGTCTTTTCCTCTAGCATCTACTTAATGCTGCAAAGCTTGATCTTGAAAAAAAGCACAAAAACATACTTATATTTAAAACACAGAAGTTGTCATATTTAGGGGCCTGTGCTGTGGCGAAGCATGTTAAGTCACTGCCTGCATTCCATATGGGCACCGAGGGGTTGGAGTACCGGCTGCTCTACCTCCCATCCAGCTCCCTGCCGACAGCCCTGGAAAGCAGCAGACAATGGCCCAAGTACTTGGACCCCTGCGCCCACGTGAAAGATCCAGAAGACGCTTCTGGCTGGCCTAGCCCTGGCTATTGTGGCCATTGGGGGAGCAAACCAACAAATGGGAAACCTCTCTGTCTCTCCTTCTCTCTCTGCCTGTCAGAAAAATAAGGTTTTTTTGTTTTTTAAGATGTAATACCTAGGTAAACCAGCAGCATCCACACAGGAACTGGCGGCAAGGCCAGGCCCAACCCTGTAGAGCAGAGCAGCCGCAAATCCGGCTGGAGCCCCTCCTCCGGCCTGGAAACGGCAGCCCCGGGGGCCAACTGGCGCTGGCGTCCGGCGGGCCAGTGTTCCTCCTCACCCGCCTCTCTGCCGCCGAGGTAAAGGCGGAGGCCCCCAGGCCCCAGGCGGCGCGCACAGGCCGCCCCAGCCCGGTTCCGCTGAGTCAGCCGGCCGCCGGGCGCGCTCAGCCGCGTGACTCGGCGCCACGTGACGCGCGCCAGGCGGCGCCTGACCTGCCGAGCGGAGCGCAGTGCCTGCAGCCGCCGCGGGAGGCGACCTCGTAAGTGTGGAGTGGGGCGTGGGGCGGCCGCGGGGCCAGGCCTCTGCCCCCCGTGTCGCAGCAGCTGGGTCAGGGCCGGGGAGCCCCCGCTCTCACCCCCAGCCCCGGACGGGGCCGTTAAAGGGGAGAGGGAAACGCGCGGACCACTCCCCGCCTCTGGCCACGCCGAGGAGAGGAGGCTCGACAATGATCAGGGCCAGTTTCTTTGGGAGAAACTGAAGTCCCCGAAGGATTGGCAGAGCCTGGTGAGCACACAGGAGCACCTCTCCTCCCAGTGCAGACTAGAGAGGACATACCTCCCAGACAGGGCCCACGCCCCGCCTGCTCCCGTGGCCTGGGATGTCCCCGTGACCACTCTGCTTTTCTGAGTAAGGCTGCAGGGTGGGGGTCCCAACTGGGAGTGGCAAGGGAGATGTTGAGCCGGGCTCCCAGATACTAGGCAAAGCCAACATGGTGAATTCCAACCGAATGTCTGGCACGGTTCCCTCCTTTAGCCCCTGGTGAAATCGCTGAATTGGAAACTGCTGCCCTCATTTTACACAGCAGAGAAAGGTTTGGGGACTTGGGTCCTTGAAGGAGGCCCTGCAGTTGTCAATGGAGCTGGGATTGGACCCCGGGTCTCTCCCGCAGGAGCGCCTCCTGGCGGGTGGCGGATGGCGAGTGATGACTGGTGGAGACGCCCACCTGCCTGTTAGTTCCTCTGTGAACCAGGTCGTTCTGGGTGAGAGGGGTCTATCATCGCTCCGCATCCTGTACCCGCTGCCCTCACCATCTGTTGCCTTGGGCAGCCCCTCTCCCACACAGGACAAGATGAAGCTTATCATTCTGGACAACTATTCACAGGCCAGCGAGTGGGCGGCCAAGTACATCAGGAACCGCATCATCCAGTTTAACCCGGGGCCAGACAAGTACTTCACGCTGGGGCTGCCCACCGGTGCGTCAGGGGATGGAGTGGGTGCCGTGAGTAGGGTGGGCTGGAGAGAGCAGGTATCAGGGGCTTTCTGAGGAGCCTGGTTTGGGGGCTCACTCAGTGAGCTCAAGTTCCTCCTTTAAAAAACACATTTATTTACTTTTATTTGAAAAGCAGGAAGACAGAAGAGACAGATACATACACAAACAGAATATTTTGGTTTGCTGTTTCACTTCTTGAAAACCCTGTGAAAGCCTGGGCTGGGCCAGGTGGAAGGCAGGCGCCTGGAATTCAGTCTCCTGTCTGTGTGGTGGAGATTCATCTTCTCAGGGTGCTCATGAGCAGGGAGCTAGAATTGGCCCATCCCTGGCTGTTGTGGCCTTTTGGAGGTGTGAACAGCAGATGGAAGAGCTCTCCGTCTCTCCCTCACAGTAAAGAATAACACATTGGTAATGAACTCTGATGTTAACTTAGTGACCAAGCAGGGGGATTTCGGTCATCAGCAGGGTGGCCACTGGGGAGTCAGCTGCCAGCAACACATGTTACAGCCACATCCTCCTGGATCTGACCACTGAGTGGGGTCGTAACCATCCAGCACAGCTCAGGCTGGAGCATGGGGTAGGACTTTTCTTCTGATCAAGTTCTCCTTACAGGCAACCCTCTTGGCTTGCAGCACTGGAGGCTGCACAGGTGTTCATGGCTGTGGTCTGTCTTGCAGGGAGCACTCCACTTGGATGCTATAAGAAGCTAATTGAATACTACAAGAATGGTGACCTGTCCTTTAAGTTTGTGAAAACCTTCAACATGGATGAGTACGTCGGTGAGTTTGTCCCTTCTTGAGGCTCTCGGGTAACTTCCTGCACCGTGCAGCCCTGGGAAGCCAGTGTCGTTGGGGATTGGCTCAGGCATCACTTCCAGTCTCTGTCAGGCCTGGGTTTACTCTTTCTCAGGACTAACTTTGTTGCAAGAACTGGTGTCCTAGATGTGGGAAAGTCTCAAGTCTCCTCTGCCTCCAGTAACAGAGCCTTCTCACTTGACTGCTCCCCAGCTCTGGAATTAATGATTGCAGGTGTCATCCTGGTAGGGGTGTGTTCCCCAGGGCCTGACTGGGCCCTGTTTGCCAGCATGCACCGCCAGCTCCCTATCCTGCCATGAGCGCTTCTGGGAAGCCATACCTGGTCTTACTGTTACCATGCCACCCCCTAGGCATTTGGACTTGGCTTCACTTTAAGCATTCTTTTCTTTAAAAAAAATGTGGTGATAAACAAGTTGCATGGAGTTTGCTCCTGGAAGCACTTGAGTGCTGTTGAGCACACTCACACTGCTGTGCAGCCAACTCGATGGTCCTGTCCTCCTGGCATACGGGGACTCCGCCAGACCTGCTGACATCTGTCATCTGGTCCCTGGAATCCAGTGCTTCCTTATCTGCCTTGGTGATTTTGCACTGAGTTGCCCATCTAAATGAAATCAACAAGGACTCTTTGTGACTGGCATTTTGTCCTCAGAGTTCATCTACCTGATAGTTTACTTGAGAATACATTTTTTTAAAATCTTTTTAAAAATTGATTTGAATGGCAAATTGACAAAGAGAAATTCTTTGTTTCTGGTGTACTTCCCAAATGTCCACAACAGCCAGGCTGGGCCAGGCAAAAGCCAGGCGTGGAACTCCCGTCTGGTTTTCCTACACATACCCAGGCTCTCATTTACTTTAAACATGATTTTTCTTCCTGGCTGAAAAACAAACCCATTTTGGAAAGCACTGAGATAATTCTTTCCAACCACTTGGCATTCAGGCTGAGCAAAATATAGCTTGGGGGTGGGAGGCACAGGGTGCTTGCGGGCTGTGCTTGCTTCCTTTCCCAGATGGGCCCAGTCCTATTCAGATGCCCAGAATGTTGCCAGCCCCCAGGCTGGGGTCATTACCTAGCAAGATAGAGATCCAAGTGAGGGGACTGCCTGGTGTGCAGCTCTGTGGTCCCAGAGGGTATTGAGGGGTAGGACTCTTGCAGTCATCAGTTCATGCTGAGTGTTAGGGTATGGAGGAGGGGACAAGGGCTCCCCAGTGGGCAGCCCCAGGGGGTGTGTGCAGCTCTGGTGGTGGGTGTGGGGGTGTTCAGCATCCTTCCTGGGGGTGGGCTGAGGCACAGCTTGGCGTGGCTGAGCATCCCCTGGCCCCACAGCCCTGCCTCGCGACCACCCAGAGAGTTATCACTCCTTCATGTGGAATAACTTCTTCAAGCACATTGACATTCACCCTGAGAACACCCACATTCTGGATGGGAATGCTGCTGACCTGCAGGCCGAGTGTGATGCCTTTGAGGAAAAGATCAAGGCCGCAGGTGGGATCGAGCTCTTTGTTGGAGGTGAGTGTGACATGCGACAGCACATGCCCAGGGCCCCAGGGGGCTGAGTATGCACAGAGAGGAGGAGGAGGACATACCTAGCCTGTTGTCTGTACCAGTGACAGTGGCATCCTTTGTCACCTTGTGGAGGCACAGTGAATTGGGGGCCCCAGGTGCCATCCCTGTCCCTGCTGCCCAGGAACTGTGGGGTTTGGGGGACTCGCCATCTTTCTGCACTTTGATGCCTCATTTATACATTGAGGTCTGGTTTACTCTCCAGTCTTTGGGTTTTATGGATCTTAACATTTGAAATCATGGACACATGTAGTTCCAGAAGGTTCCCCACAGCCCCTGCCTATCAATGGCTGGCTGAACCCGAGAATCTTGTGACTGAGCAAAGGTCCTCCAGCAAGCAGCAGCACCTCGGCCGTCTCCCTCTGTCACTGGAGCTCTTGCCTCTGCTCTGGCTGCTTTTTCTGTGTCCACTGCTGCAGTCACCCATGGCAGTGTCTCCTTGGGGTGGCCTACACTGCTGGAAGCTTAGCTCTTCAGTACCCTAAAGCCAGGGTAAGAGGGCAGGGACTTTTTTATTCTTAGATTTTATAAACCTTACAGCCCTTTTCCCAATCCTGTGTGTGTTTTATTTCTTGTAAATCTGCCCAGAGGTGCCACCAATAGTGACATGCAGGGGACAGAGAAGACGCACTGTTTCTGGTGGTGTGGGCAACGGAAGCCATCTGAATGATCCTTACTTAGCTTTTTGAGGGTGATGGCAAGTCAGCAGTGTCTGTGCCTCACAGGGATGGCAAAGAATGGGACTCATGCTGCCCCTGGCGGGGAGACATGAGGACACATGCCAGCCCCAGGGATTGTTTTTACAGACCCAACTTGGGAAAGGAGAGACTTTCTGTTCTTACTTTCTGAGGTCCCTGGCACTCACAGGGCTGTCCCCATGCAGGCATCGGCCCCGATGGACACATCGCCTTCAATGAGCCAGGCTCTAGTCTCGTGTCCAGGACCCGGGTGAAGACACTAGCCATGGACACCATCCTGGCCAATGCCAGGTTCTTCGATGGAGATCTGACCAAGGTGCCCACCATGGCCCTGACGGTGGGCGTGGGCACCGTCATGGATGCCAGAGAGGTAAGAGTACAGCAGTGCTGCCAGCCTTCAGCAGGGGCAGGGCCTCTGTTCATTTTAACTCCAGGTACCACTTGAATATACTGTTTTTAAAACCAATCTTGTTACTTATTTAAAATGCAGAGAAAGAAAAAACTCCCATCTGCTGGTTCAATTCCCATATGCCCATAACAGCCAGGGCTGAGCCAGGCCAAGAACTCACTTCAGATCTCCCACTTGGGTGAGCAAGACCAAACACTTGAGCTAGCTCGTGTTGCCTCCCAGGGTATGCATTAATAGACAAATGGAATGACGAGGGAGCTGGGACTCAAACCTGAGCATTCCACTGTGGGATGCAGGTGTTCCAAGCAGTAATCTAACTGCAGCATAACACACCTTCTCCTGAGTACATTCTTACTAAAAATGAAGACATCATATTTAAGATTTCTGATCTAGCTCCTGCTAACCTGTTCTGCGAGAGGCAGCAGATGAAGGCTCAAGTGCTTGTGTCCCTGCATCTGCACGAGAGACCTGGAGGAATTCCTGGCTCTTGGCTTCTGGCTGGCTTGGCTGTGTCTACTGTGGTCATTTGGAAAATGAATTAGTGACTGAAAGAGCTCTCTGTTCCTCTTTCTTTCAAATAATTAAACATAGATCCTTCTTTCAAATAATTAAACAGGCAGTCCCCCTCATCTCATGGGCCCTGGTAGTCACTGGCGGGGCGAGAGGGTCGCCATCCTGGTATGCAGGTGGCTGGGCTTCTGCATCACAGGAGTGTTCTCTGCCCTTCAGGTGATGATCCTCATCACGGGCGCACACAAGGCCTTCGCGCTGTACAAGGCCATCGAGGAGGGCGTGAACCACATGTGGACAGTGTCTGCCTTCCAGCAGCACCCACGCACCGTGTTTGTGTGTGATGAGGATGCCACCTTGGAGCTGAAAGTGAAGACTGTCAAGTACTTCAAAGGTGAGGGCAGGGAGGGGCTGGATGCACAGAGACTGTGCTAAGAATGGCTTTGCCTTGCATCCTGTGGCCATTCCTAATGGGTCAGTCTGACAACTGTGACCTGAATAAAAACTGGACCCCGCTCTTTCACAAGTCTGCAGTTACGTCTCTGCCATCCATGATGCCCGGGCGCATTGATGGAGATGTGTCAGCTCTGAGGAGGAGGAAGGAAACACAGAATGGTAGCAAAGGACCAGGTAGCAATCCTGCAGGCCTCACCCAGGCCTTCCCGTCTGGGCAGGGACCCCAGCTGGCTGCCATAAGAATCTCTTACCTTCACATCCAAAGGCCTGCAGCAGCCAGGGCTGGGCCTGGCAGAAGTCCAGAGCCAGGAACTTGCATCTGGGTCTCCTATGTGGGTGGTGGGAACCTCAGCACTTAAGCCACAATGCTTTAAGCAAATACACGTTAAAAGCCATTTACTAAGCAGGTAAATTGGGAATTTGTTCTCTGTTGAAAAGTTGAACTTTTAAGTAGTCAGCTCCCCTGGTGACTGAATTTGCAGAAGTTCCGTGAACTCAGGTACTGATCCCAAGAGGTTTATTGCTTGGAAACCACAGAGGAGGAGTTGGTTTCAGCACAGGATTTGAAAGTTCCTGGATGGTCAATGTTGGTTATCATGTTGCTGCAGTCATATTTTGTTCTTTGTTTTCTATAGGTTTAATGCTTGTTCATAACAAGTTGGTAGACCCCTTGTACAGCATCAAGGAGAAAGAAATCGAGAAGAGCCAGTCTTCTAAGAAGCCGTACAGCGATTAGTGTGTGCCTGGGACCTGCCATGGCGTACCTTGCAGGGAGGAGTCTTTTAGAAAATTGTCTGTAGAACAGAATTGTCTTTCTTTAATTCAGTTATGCCAGTCCAGATAAATGAGCAAGTATTCCAGTCTTGGCTCTGGAGCAAGGGACCTGGTCATGGACTTCAGCCACAGGAAGAACAACCTGTTAAATAGCAACGGAAGTCTCTGAAAAATGTGTAGCCATCATTGTCTGCCACAGGCAGGTTGGGGGTATCATGGGGTTGGGCCCTGAGGAGCTGTAGCAGGCTGCTGAGCACCAGGCACTTCCTGCTTAGAATCGGAGGCACTTTTGAAGCTCACTCCTCATCTGAGAACCACTGTCCTAGATTAAGGAACCAGCTCTTGCAGTATCTGGAGTTGAGTTGCTCTGGTCAGACCAGGGCGCTGGAAAGAAAACTGTCTGCCTTTTCTTTAGCTCTCACAGCTGGCTCTTCGCAGACCTGGGCTCACAGTTCTGAGGAGGGTTCGAGCAAGAGGGGCTGAGGCGGTTACTTTTGATGACAAAGCCAGAACCTCAACCACGTCAAACGTTTAAGGCCTTGCAGCAGACGGCCTGAAAACAGCGTCACATTGAGCCAGGGGGATGGGTTGCGAGCAGCTCAGTCTCCATACATTGGTGCTGTGCTCCCCTGAGGTGACTGCCAAGAGCAGCACCGAATTTGTTTCCTAGCTTGTAGTCTGGCTCTTGAGCGCTGCGTTCTGATGCTCTGAGAACCTTAGGAAGCAGCACCTGTGTGTCCCTTCAGACATCTCCCTGAGCCCACGGCGTCCTGCCTGCCTCTGGTTGAGTGGATGCTGCCTCCCGCCCCCTGGTTCTGGGCATGTGCCATGCTATTGCTGTCTTTGTGGGAGAACTTTCAGGACCCGGCTTAGGCCTCATCCTCCCAGTGCTGTTTGGTACTAGCCTTTTGTCTTTAGCCTTTATCATATGCAGTTGTGCTATTGTTCTGTTTTAAGCTCATGATCAATTAACTTGTTTACACTGTGATATTTTCTATTAAATTCAGTATTTTCAAATAAAATGGAACGTATGGATTTCAAGCTCCAGAGCTCAAAAGGTGGCATGTTTCCAGAACCTTGCTTGTGAGCAAAGCATCATACTTGGTCCTTGTGGGAGCCTGTGGGAAGGCCACGAGCATAGTAACCATTTACTGATGCCTTTACTCGTCAAGGTGAAAAGTGAAGCAGCCTTGTGGAGAGGATTAGGGATAAACAGATGGCAATAAATCGTATTCTCACTGTACCTGAGAACCAGACGAATGCAACTATTACAAGTTGGAAGAATGGTTTAATTTCTAAATTTTGCTGAAATATATGTGTATCAAGTTCCCCTGTGTTAAATACAACTCCGTTGATTTGCCTTAGTTAATAGAGTCACATAGTTCCTCACTGTGGTCCCTTTCTTTTGAGAAGTTGCCTGCTCCCCAGCCAGGCTGCCATGGGCCTGCCTGGTGGCTACAGATTTCTCCTTACACAAAGGGAAAGGACATGTCTTCCCAGGTCAACTTCCTAAGGAGGATAATATCTTTCGGAGTCATCCATCTAACGTGGCATGGCACCATTCCTTTCCTCTGCTGAGTGTAACTCCTTGTGGATAGAGCAGTTTGTCCAGTGGAGAAAGATTTACAGAAAAAAAAAAAAAAAAAAGACCCATATTAGAGTAAAATGTAAAAAAAAAAAAAAAAAAGCAAAATGCAGTGATGACAGAGATGTCTGTGGGGACCTTGGACCTCGAGGGGATCTGATCTCAGGTCTGCTCTGGGTGGCCCCACAGCAATGCCTACGAGTGCTGTGCTGACCAAGTGGTAGTACAAAGACCAGCCCCGGGCCACAGGGGCCTCTGCTCAGGCTCCTCGGAGAGAAGCACTCACAGTGGATCTGGACTCTCTCATTGTCAGAAAATAAAGGCGCTATAAGGAACATCAGATGCAGTGTTGCCAGCACAAGGCAGCCAGGATGGGGTTCCCACTTGCCAGATTGTACTAATTTAGTCAAAAAGGAAAATATGAAATACAGCTAATTGGAATGAGCTGGGTCTGTGAGCAACAGATCCAGTACTCAAAAGTGGAAAAGGAATAATTAAAGTATACATTGAGTTGTAAGAAACAGTTGGAGTTTGTTTCATGTGGCAGAACGTTTATAGGAGAGAATGTCACCTTCCTTGGATTATATGTTTATCAAACAGATGAGGGTTTGGCCCATCCTTTTCGTCCCCAGCTCTCTGCCCCAGTGCTGTGTGTCCAGCCTCCTTGCCCCTTCAGTACAAAGCAGCACTCATTGATTCCTGCCTTGCCCTACTGCTGGCTCACAGCCGCTCACACGGTGAGATACATCTTGCTTCCCACTGGATGTCAGCTCCATGAAGGCCCACTGCAAAGCCCTGCTCTCCCCACCCCTGAAACTGGGCCTTGCAAGCTGGACAGCACCAGCTGATGGTTCCTCCTGAAAGCAGTGATCATGCACACTAAGCCAGGAGAGCGGGTGGGATAACATGCAGACATGGGCCAGCCCGCAGGCCACCATGACACTAAACTTGCATTTCCTGAGAACTGAAACCCTTCTTTGATGAGAGACTGATGAAGCACAGGTACAGTTCCTGTGTGCCATTCTGTGGCAAGACACCGAGTTATGTGAGAAGAGTCAAACAATGTAGTAATGCAAGCCTTGAGGGAGTCCCCACCTACTTCATATTCTCAGGGCAACAATAATCACACCCAGTTCATTGACTCTGTCTTGCTTCAGCACTAGGTTGTACCCTCTCTTACCACCCTGAAGACATTTCTCCTACCTGTAGCATCAAGTTGTCCTTTTCTCCTGGACCACTCCCCTCAGCTGCAGGAGATCTAATAGGTGCCTGGCATCTGCCACACTGGAGTCTGGCTCTGGTGATTGCTTTGTCTCTTTCTCTTCTTTCTGCAGTTTCTGCCCCGTTTTTTGTTTGTTGGTTTTTCCCGCTGATAGCAGGGCAGTTGCAGGAACTGAGTGACAGCAATAGTCTTCACTGGGAGGCTGGCGGGGCAGTACCGTGTCTGCTGCTACTGCAAGCCCCAGAGCTCAGCTTCCTTCTGCATCCTTCATCTCCCTACCATCTTTGGGTTTCTCTGTAAACTCAACATGGATCCTGTGTGCAGCAGCTCCAGACTAGATTCACTGATGCATAGAAGTGTGGATATGCTTCCTAAAATCCTTTTCTTTTAAGATTTTCTTTATTTGAAAGGCAGATTTACAAAGAGAAGGAAAGGAAAGAAAGATCACTCTCCAAATGGCTGAAACAGCCATGGCTGGACCAAGCCAAAGCCAGGAGCCAGGAGCTTCATCTGGGTCTCCCACATGGGAGCAGGGACCCAAGTACTTGGTCCCTCCTCCTTTGCTTTACCAGTTGCATTAGCAGGGAGCGAAATCAGAAGTGAAAAAGCTGGAACTTGGAGCCAGCACGCACAGGGAATGCTGGTGTTCTCACAGGCAGCAGCTTAACCTGCTTGCCACAGGACTGGCCCTCAGGTTCCTAAAATCTTAAGATGAAAGTTCTTGTCTTTTTTCCCCCACAGGTTAGAGTCCTCAAGCTGGGAACTACTGAAGTTTCTTAGATTTTTTTCCTCCTCTAGAGTCAGACCAGAAAGCCAGAAGGACTTGAGACTTTGAACTGCCTTTCCCCTGTGGCAGAGAAGGTTCCAGAAGAGAGGGGGCCCCACTTGGGGAGCAGAAAGCTCTCAGCTGCTTTAGCTCTGGAGGTAATACCACCAAGTGTGGGCCTCAGCCCTGAGCAGCATGGTTACATCCAGGGACCAGCTCCAGCAGCTGTGGCTTTAGGAGAGCTCCTCTGCATTTTCCACTCCGGTTTGACCTTGCCCCGGGACCCCAATTGTCTGACAGAGCTGCGAAAAGCTCAGCTTTTTCCTGGTACAAGGCAATCCCCACTTTCTGTCACTCTCCATATCATCCTCTCCCTGCCATCCCAGTGACCTGGTAGAACTTTGCCACCTGACTGTGGGCAGTACCCAACACTGCTGTTCACATCCAAGACACCACACGCTTCCTACCTTAGTGGCCACTGTCTCCCTGACCTGTTAGCACATGGGGTGACCCAAGACCCAGTTCTCAACCTTTCCATACCACTTTCTCCCTTGGTAATCTCACCCAGTCCTGAGGCTGTAAGAACCTATCTCTCGCCTGAGTCACCCTAACTGCCTATCCAACATCTGAGTTGGGCTCACCACCAGGAACCTTAAACTCACCTCTACACATTGAAATTCTCAAACTTCACCACCAAGCCTCAGTTACCTATGCTTCTCTATCTCAAACGGTGAGACAAGACTACCTGTCAACCTGGACGCCTCACTTTCTCACATCACATATAGCCAACCTATGAACAAATCCTATCAGTTTTGCCTTCAAGGTAAGCACAGAATCCAACAAGGTCCCAAGATTCCACCTGCAGGAACCCTGGATGAAGCCACCTGCTCATCTCACCCAAGTCACAGCAAAAGGACACTTTCTACTCCTGTGGGAGACCAAGAAGAGGATCTGGGCTCCTGGCTTCGGATAGGCGCAGCACCCGCCGTTGTGTCGCTTGGGGAGTAAATCATCGGATGGAAGCTATTACTCTGTCTCTCCTTCTCTCCATATATATCTGACTTTGCGAACAAAATAAATAAACCTTTAAAAAAAAAAAGAACTGAATGGGATGTGGGGCAGACTGGACAAGTCTGCGGTACACACTGGCAAGCATGGGAACCAGGGCAGGGGGCAGGCCTGGTGGGGGGTTATTGGGGGTTACTCCGACTAGGCTGTAGCTCCCATTGGTTTGTGTGAGGGCCAAGTGTGTGCTGGGCAGAACCAGGCTGGACTGCAACACCCATTGGTTCTTGTGGAAGACAGGTCTGGAAACAGAACCGACCCAGCAAATGCAACGACCAGCATAGGCATAAGCTGATTGGGGCGATGGACTGTGCCGGACCTTGTACTGGCAAGCACACACAAGAATCAGGTCTGGGATCACCTCAGATGAAGTTTCTTTGGGGACTCTTCCAACTAAACTGCTGATCTCGGAACCCCAACCGTGAAGAGACTGCGTCAGCCAGTGGAATGGCGAGACTGGCAGCAATTCATAACTGTTGAACTATCAAAACCGCTTGAGCAGGACCCTCGGAGCATGCCCCACATCGGGGACCTGGGATGGGTGGGAGGTTGGGTGGGGCTGCTTCCTTTATCTCTCCCTTACTCCGGATACAGAAAAAAGTAATAACAATGCTACTGTGGAAACAATGATGGTCTTACCCACTTTCCTGCAGCCCTTGACCCTTTGTGCCCTAATCAACTATGTAAATATTATCAAAATAAAATAATTTTTTTTTTAAAAAAAGGAATTCTATGCGATCATCATGGCATCTCCTTCTTGGTCCCGGATGAGACACAGATGCATCATGGGAGTGTGGGTGGATCATATGGACAGATAAGAGGGTAGAATCGCAAGAGGGGCTGGCAGGGGCCAGCATCGTGGCACAACGGGTTAAGCCACCACCACTTGCTATACTAGCATCTTGGCTTCGTCCTGGCCCAGTCCTGGCCATTGTAACCATTGAGAAGTGAACCAGTGGACGGAAGAGCTCGGATTCTCTAACTCTGCTTTCCAATAAAACAATTCTTTAAGACAAAGGAACAATGCAGGGCTGGCACAAATTCCAGCTCATGTATTTCCAGCCAGCTCTCTGCCTGGTTTCCCCATATCATTTCCACCCATGGGGAAAAGGAACCCACTGAAAAATGGAAGCTTGAGTTGAGCCCAAGGGCCGGGAATAGCCGATGTTCTAATCTCAGAGCGCCTGCGTCATCGGGCCCAAATTTAGCAATGTCTTCTCTTCGGCTCACCCAAATCAGGTGAGCTGTTGAGAAGTTCTGTTGCAGCGTGCCGGCCCTCAGCTATTCCGGGTGGGAAGGGAGAGGTGTCGCCACACTTTAAGCAACAGTCACAGCACCTTGACAAGCGGAAGCAAGAAAAGGCATCCAAAAAAAAAAAAAAAAATCCCCTTTGTCACTTATCA